TTTTGGCAGAATCTTTGCCCTGCAGCTTTACTAAGAAATTCAATAATGATAAATTGAGTAGAATTCATAGAGGACTTTTTGTGAACAAGATTTAAAATAATGTATGTGGCGCAGATAATTATTTGCCACACAATTGTCTTGGCAATCTTCTTCTGAGCACCCTTGTTTGATTGTGTCAGCTATTCTTTAAAAACCACCCCTTGTTCTGCTCTTATCGCTACCCCAATTTGCTATTGAGGCTTTCTTGATTTCCAGCCAAGTCCGTGTTTAGCCATAATTATTGTTTTGTTCCCCTTGGCCTGTGCAAATGCAGCGTTTCAAACTGGGAGCACTCCGGGTCCTGCATTTTGTGTGACAGTCGCACAAGTCCCCTCCCGTGCTGTGTCCAATGCTGTGAGCTGGTATCATCAGTCCACTATAATTATCCTTTTTTTTTTATCTTTTCCAACACCAATTGGAAGTAAAACACATCACTTGACCCGTGTGCGGTTTGTAGTCTCACTGTTATGCGTGACACTACTGGGAAAATTATGCTGGGGTTGTCTCCCTGGTTTTGCTATTGCTGCCTTTAGCCTCTGCTAACGCACCGATAATTTGTATGAGAGGCAATTCTGTGTTCAAATTGTCCATCCAAACCATCCTCAGCACTTCCCCTATGAAAGCTGCATCTATTTTGTTTATTTCTCACAGATTTCCCCCGTTTGCCGCTGGCGGGAGCAGAGCTCCTCGCCCTGTGGGCACTGTGGCATCCCCGCTGTCCTTTGTCACCGCTGTCCTTGGAGGCACTTCAAATATGCTTGTAAAAAGTCTAATTTTCATCAAAAGTTTTTTCAATAGTACCAAGCAGACTACTTGTAAGTAAAATAAAATAATAAAAAAAAAAAAAGGTATCTAATAGAAGTGATACCTGTGTGCTGGGACTGAATGGATACCTTAGCGAGTGGCAGGCTCATGTTAAGCAATGGAGCTGGTCTGGGCATTCGCTTTCATTAGTGAGACCTGTAAAATAGGTCTTTTCTGGTAATTTGATAATGGGGAGAGAGTGCTGCTGAAACGCCACGGTAATTCTCAACCGAATGGGGGTAGCTGAAACTTTCCCAGTTAGGCGACACGAGGAGATGAACATCGGCTGTTGCATCCCTTGTTCCGTTCCTCTGCGGAGCCGGGGAAGCCGAATACCTGCGAGCCGAGTGGGATGTTCGTGTCTGATGCTCTCAGGCGTCTGGTTTTGGCAGGTACGGGCAGCCCCGAGGGTCTGGGTCCCTCTGCGGCATTCATAGCTCCTCTCTGGGGCTCCCCCCACGCTCATGGCCAGGCATTCAGCGAAGCATGCTTTTTTTCCTCAATGAAAATTTGCCCACAAATAGGAGTCGGGGGAGCTGAGATCAAAGCCTGGAAGAGGGAGCTGGAAAGGCTTCGCTTTGGTGTTTAAACACCAGCAAAAGCCTCGCTCTGCCTTGCGGCAGGAGTCCTGGGGGACAGCACAGTTTTGCGGTGAACCCATCAAATCCAGGGACAAGGGAAATAAGGAGAAAGTATGACTGGAAGAAGGCAACGAAAAACCCAATAAACCAACAGCTCAAAGCCCTGGGAGTTCCCGTGCGTGAGTGCATCGCCATTGCCGGGATCGCTTTGGACAACTGGGTCAAGCTGGAGCAGGAGGCGGCTCTTCCCTTCCTGGGAGCTCCGTGTGTAGGTAATGGTGCATGAGAAATAGCCAAAAGGGAGATGGGAGTGTAATAGCGGGGGGACAAATTAACATCTTTGCAAGCCGAGCAGATGCCAAGGCAGAGTTTTGTTCAGAGCCGGGAAGTTAGATTTTTGGAAACGCTGATGACATTTGCTTTATCGGTTCTGTTAAGTGCCAAGCAAAAAGCAGTTGGGAGGTTTTGATTTTTTTTTTTTTTTTTTTTTGCTCGTTCTGCCTGAACTGTGGGGACAGGAACCGAGACATCTGGGGTTTCCACCCGTGGCTCTGCTGTGGATTTGCTGCGTGGCTCTGGGTGAGGTAGTCCTGCTTGCCGTGCCCATCCCCAGCCTGGGAGCACATGGCCGTCATCTGTACTGTAATGATCAGATCATCCCTGATAAAGTAAATCTCTGGTTTTATTCATTTTGTTTAGTTTATCCCAGAGAAGATGGGGGTGATGCGGTCAAGGACTTGGCCGGAGCAGCGATGTGGGGTGATGGATGGCTCCTTGACTTGGCATTTTGTTACGTGCTCTGCTGCGGCTGGAGGGAGAGGCTGGATAAACCTGGGGGAGGAGGAGGCAGGCTCCAGCCTGAGCCTTGTCCTGGGATAGAGCTGGGGTAGGTGAGAAAGAGGTAAGGGAAAAAGATCTAAGATTGCAGAAGAAAACGTGTTGGGCACAGGCTTGTACTTTCTTGGATGGCATATGCTTCTCTTGAGTCAACAGCTGGGTTTGTTTTTAAGCACAGTCTTAAAGTCAGAAATGCTAAGGGTGGACTGGACCAGGTCACATAATGAGATGAGCGAAAAGAAAAAGAAAAAAAATTGAAGAAAATTGCCAGCGATGGAGTTGCCTGCCTGGTTTCAGTAACGCTGTTCTTAGCTGGTGCTGTGAGAGATGAGAGCGCAGCTGAGGTGCTACTGCACTGTCAGCAGGCAGCTTTTTTTTGCCCTGATTTAAGAAAAAACAAGTCACTGATGTTACATTCTGCATTTTCCCTGCGTTCCCCTAGCAGATACCCGAAGTCTGCAAAGTGCAAAGCTTCCCCAGCAGCCACCGAAACCTCTGCTTTCAGCATTCACCCTGCATTTGTACCTCGCAAAAACTGCCTCGAGAGCCTATGTTGCCCTGGCTGTCGCGGCGTTGCGGTCGCTTGTGCTTTTATTGAACACTTGTTGCTTTCTATAAAGGGAGAAATGCTGGTGTTTTGTCACTTGAATGTAAGTGCTCTTCTCTAAATGTCACGTAAACCATTTTTTCCTTCTCCCTGGAAAGCCCTTGATGCCGGAGGGGGATTTCTGCGCCTCTCTGCATCCTCGCGTCACCCTGGTTTTTGTGTAGGTGGTCCAGCAGCGATGCTGGGAGCCCAGGGGCAGCATGGGGACAGTGCCAGGGTGCAAACCCATGCCCATCGCGCTGCGGCGATGGGGCTGCCAGCACGGGTCCACGGGTCAGCGTCAGTGGCCGGGGCAAGGTCAGCTGAGGATAATGCTGTTTGTGGGGCCCGGGGGATGTGTGCCAAGCAATTAAAGTAATCTGGCCTGGCAGAAGAAGAGACTTTCATCTGTAAGTGACTTCAGCCTTGGCTGCCCCGTTGCCAGGGGTCTGCTGCGCCAGCGTTCCTGCGGTGAATTGGACAAGCCGCTCTGCTGGATTTGGTTGTCCTTGCTATTGCTTAAAAAAAATATTTATCTCTGTCCCTGCAGGCTGGAATGAAGCTCTGCCATCAAATGTTACTGCGCGTTATTGACTGGGCTGGGATTTGGGGACAGAAAGTGTCTGGCTCCGTACGGCTAACAACAACGACAATGTTTATCTGCGCAGCATCTTGCTCTGTTTGCAGAGCAGCAGCGGTGGTGGCCTTTTGGGGGAAAGCGTGAGAGTCGCGGGCAGCGTGGTTTGCAGCCCTGCTGATGCCGTCCGGGGATGCTCCCGTAGCATGGGAAGTGGCAGGAGGGAATCTGCCGGATCGCTGCCTGGTCCCACTGCCGTCAAGTGGGGTTTTAGTCTTTGACCTGGTTTTTTGGTTACCAAAACATATTAAATTCTGCGTTTTATTTTCTGTGGTGTTGAGGACCGTTTTGGGATGCCTTTACGTGTCTGTTTTTGTGTTACAGATGGCAAGATGCAGAGTGTTGCTGACACCCTTGCTTTCCCAAGGTGACCTCCTGTGTCAATTTGCATGAGCCCTCTTATGCTGAGGTTCTTAATTGGCGCTGAAAACGCACGCTGTGCAACGTGCGACGTGATGGTTGGGCATCATCCTGCCTCCAAATGGCAGGGGAAGCAATTGGCATTCTGTCAAAATGGTTTCAGATGGCTCCTTGCACTGTGTCTGTGAAAAAATCTTGGAGTGGGTGGGTCAAGGGACAGGAAAGAGAATTATATAAATCCAGGGAGAGAGAATTCTATTGTCTAAATGTCAGATCTTTAAGATGAAGCCATAGCTGTTGCTATGTGAAGTTGATGAATTTGTGCTCCTGGTTTCTTGGTTTCTTGGTTTCCCTTCACCTTTTCATGCTGAAGGTGAACAGTCAAGGTCTCAGCGTGCGTAGGCTTTAGTATGCTGCTGCCCAGTGCTGATTCCACCCTTCACAGCCCTAACTGGGGCTTGGGTTTTAGTGGCATGGTTTTAAATAACTGGTTGAAATAGAGCTGATAGTAAAGGTCCTGCTGGGAGCAGAGGTCTGGGAGAGCCCGGGGTTATCTGGCAATGTCTTAGCAAATAGCAGTGGCAAATCTTTTGGTAGCGGAACAAATAGTTGCTAAATACAGCTCAGCATGCTCGTTTTGTGACCGGGGTGAAATCAAAATGCAGGGGTTTCCTTCATCAGCGAAGGCAACGGAACTGCAGACCTGCCAGGTTTGGGGTTGGTGGGGGGTGACGGTCTCCCCGCGGGTCCCTGCGGCTGCTGCCCGGCAGCTCTGTCCTCATCATCCTCGTCAGCCACCAGCCCCAGGGCTCATCCCCGCCAGATCGGGACTTTGGGTTTGCAGGTGGGTGTGAGCCCGGGAGTGATGCTGGGGAGCCGTGCGGGACCAGGATCGGCTCCCAGGAGGAGGAGGCAGAGGATGAACTTCTGTCTCAGGGTCTCCCACAGGGCTCTGTGGTCTGCGTGGGGGAAAACCCCCTACCCTAAAGTGAAACGAAGGGGAGGGGGGGCCAACGCACACACCCCTTCAGCCTTGCTTTGGTCAGTGTTTTTCTTTCTCTCTGCTTTTTCCTTCGGGGCGGGGAGGCAGGAGATGCCCGGCTGTCCGTCTGTCACCCTCTTGGCTGACCTGGCTGTTTTTTCTGTACCCCCAGACAAAGGTGAGAATGGGGAGCCCTATCAGAGGAGGAAGGGTGTGGGGGCCAGCCTGCCAGACAGCCCCCCGGCGTTCCCCGTGGCCAGGGACGGTGCCCCGATGGCCGGCAGCAGCAGCTGGAGGCGGATTATGCTGATGATCCTCGCTATAACCATCCACAACATCCCAGGTAAGTCCCGTCCGTCTGTCCATCCAATCCTGGCTTGCGGGCAGCCTCTTCCCGGGATCGGTGCCATCCTGGGAAGATCATACAGGGCTGCCGCCTTCTCTCCCTTCTTCTTTTTCTTGCTGTTCGCAGATGGTACTTGCCGAGTGGGTGCCTGGGTGCCTTTTGACAAGGTCTATCACGTCAAATCTCGCTCTTCTGGTAGGGCTGAAGCACGTAAGGTCTTGGCAGCAAAACCCCTTATGGGGAGGGGGCTCGGAGGGAGCCCGTGGGCTCAGGCTGCTGCTGTGTCTTGAACATCTGCAGCCTCACTCGCTATTGCCAGCCTGTCGTGGGCGAAAATTGTAAATCCGAGAGTATATTGAGAAACGTGATGCTGTAAAGACAACAAATTCTGGTCTCTTTACGTTTCTCTTCTGGTCTGTGTACTAGCAAGAGATGCATTTTAAAGCGCTGCTTCTCTGCGGGAGCACACACGATTGGGGCTTTCTTATTCAAGGGATGGAGTTTGCCAGTAGATGCAAAACTGCAGAGCCCTGAGTCTTGGAGGGCTGCGTCCTGCCAGGGGCTGGACTTTGAGACTGCAGAAAAAGGTGTGATAAAAAAAATGAGATAAATTTGTAACAGCTGAGGATGCTCGGCTACTTTGCAGTTCTTGGTGATGTTGAAAGTAATATAAGGCAACCTTTTCAAATGCTTGTTTTCCTGGTTTCCTCTCCCCTCCCTCCTCCTCCTCTTCTCCTTCCCATCCCCTTTCCTTTCTCTGTTCTCCGCTCAGTCTCTGCCTGTCTCGGGTTGTAGCCTGGATGGGGGGATGCAGGGGGAATAGGAAAAGGCTTTTCTGCCTAACTTGGATCTGTAAACTTGGGGAAAAACAATGAGCGCCTTCGGAAGAGCTGTGCTTTCTGAGCTGGCGTGAACGTGTGGCTTGTTGGCAAGGAGGCGGCTATTGTCAGCCGTGAGAGCTGCTGCGGCACGGGGCTTGCTTTAACTGTCAGAGCCGGTGAAGGGGGAGCTGCCTTGCGTCATCACGTGTGCTTTTCAATTTTGAGAGTGACTTTTATCCAATGCCAGGGCATCTGTCTTAAATTCCGTCACTGGATGGGCATCCTGGGTGAAAAGGCTCCGTTATGGGTCTGTAATCACAGATCCTGTATTTTTCCCCTTGCAAGGGCACCCCAGAATTGAATGGCAGGAAAAAATCAAAGGAAACGCACAGCGGGCTGCCTCGGTGTTGGAGCTGGGCTGCGCGTGGGCGTTCTTCTGCTTGAGCACTTGTGAGCTGCCATCCCTTCCAGCCTTGCTGCTACTTGCTTGTCTCTGGGCAGTAATTGCTTCCTTCCAGCCAGTCATCAGTTCCGAGCACCCTCGTGTACTCCTGCTCCTGTGGATTTTCCTCTTTTCATCCCTTTTTATTTTATTTTTTTTTTTTTTTTTTTAAATTATAGGTAGATAACTCACATGCCTTAGTTCAGCTCCATGTATTGCTGGGGGAGGTAGATGCCTGGCAGACGAGGCAAGTAGGGAGCTTTAAATTAGCCACACATGCAAAAAATGGGGAAGCGTTTGCACTGAACAAACCGTAATTGGATTTCATTCTTCAAACAAGTGTCAAGGAGCTGGGGTGAAGAGCCGGGCGGCGTGTGCATCTCGCTGCCTCGGGTTGTGTCGGCTGGGGATTCCTGTCTCTGTCACCGGCAAAAAAAGAAAGTTTTGTAGAGGAGTGAACAAAGTGTCACCCGTAGCAATAGGTTAATGGCAACATGGCCCTGGCTGCCGCAGAGATGCTGGTCTAACCTTTCATTGCTTCTGCAAGAACACAAAGCCACCCTTGGACGGTTACAGAGGCTCAGAAATTCCCTCTTGCATCTTAAAGGTCACAACATTAAAGCTTAATATCCAGAGAGGTGTGTGAGAGCGGTGACCTGCGGATTGTTCTGCTGCTCAGCCCCTGCCTGGAGGCTTGGCTCAGCTCAGTGGGGGTCTCTGGGTCACATTGGGGCTGTCTGTCCCTGCCAAGCCCTGTCCCCAAAGTCCTTCTCCTGCTCCTTTCCAGCTGGTGTGTGCCCTTCCAGCAGCCCCCCAGCGCTGTTGTGGGGCTGGGTGGGTGACACTGGCTGTTTGTGCTCGATGGGGCCACTCCGCGATGGCAAAGCCCTGTACCAACGTCCTGGTTTCAATGGGGATTTGCCCAAAGTCATCCAGAGATTTTAAGTTGCAGAGGTTGGACTTGAGCCCGTGTCTGCCGTCGTGCTCCCCAGAGCCCTACCTGCAGGTCGCAGGATGCCAGCACAGATTTCGTCCTAATAAATAATTCAGTTTGTGATTAAAACAGGAGCTTGTGGCCTGCCTTGCTCATTACCGGGGTCTGGTCTTTCTTGCGTGAAGAAGCAGATGCTGGTCCAGCCTCTCGGTGAGCAGCGGGACGGGGTCCGGCTTGGCTTTCGCTGAAGTCCTTTCGCTTTCCCAGCAAAATCTCGGCAGCGCCGGTGGCACTTCTCCAATCTGCTGCGGCCCCTGCCTGCGGCGCAGGGTTTGGAAACACTGTAATGCTCTACCTCAATTATCATCCCTGCGAGCGGAAAGGCTGACACTATAATTAGCGCAGACTCCTGCAGCGTAATGACACCTCGGTTAGCGTGCGGGGCGGCAGCGCCTGTGCCGGGCGAAGAGGCGGGAGGTGCTGAGCCGAGAAATTGGGGATGGCTCGGCACCTCGGCATGGCTGCCAGACGCGGGCTACCGGCTCGCCCGGCCCTTGGGCTTGCAAAATCGCTCGGCGCTCGCTTCGGCAGAAGCGCGCGGCTCTGGCGCCGCGTCCGTGGTGCTCGCTCTGCTTCCCTGTGAGCCCAATGCATTTGCAGGGAACCTGTCGTCGGAGGTCGTCCAGGTGGTTCCCAAGGGTTTTCTGTCCTACCCTTCGCTTCAGAACGCTTCGTAAAACTTCGCGTCCCTGGTGCGGGGATGCTGCGGCGAGGAGGATGCAGCCGGGAGGGGACTGCTCCTGTCCATGCTCACTTTGCTGGACCTCTGGTCTGCCCAAGTGCCTCTGATGGGCTGGAGGTGGTCTTGCTCTTCTGAAACCTGCAGTGTTTTACGCCTGAGCTCAAACTCTACCAAGTCCCTCCATCCCTTCACCAAAACCCTCACAAGGACCGGGTCTGGCCCTGTTCTGCTCTGCTGCTCGTGGGGAACGGGCTTCCTCTTATTATTGCCAGCAGAGAACAGTTTTATGTACTTTGAGCCCCGTTTAGGGATGAACATGTTTCGGTCTTGGCAATGCATCTATCTTTGGTTTCAAGCAAATGTGCTGGAAGCTGGTTAATGTGCGGGTGAGATAATTGAATGTAAAGACCAGCCTCTCGCGTTCAGTTTGTATTTAGTAGGCTCTGCCGGCAACCAAAAGGTTTGTTAATTTGTTCCAAAGCTGGGGCTGGCAATGTAAAGAATAAATTGATAATGACAGGAGATGCCAAACTGCAGACTGTTCCTGCTAATTAATATTCATATATGCTGGGTTTAGTAGAACATTAATTATGTATTTAATCAGGCTCTGTTTATTCTGGTTTATCTTTGTACCTTGGGTGGCTGTTATGCTGAAGACTTCAGATTAATTAAAATGTTACTGGTGTATCACAAATAACAATTAGTGAGGTGTGAGTTGAACCGCCTTTCTCTTTGCACTCATTTAGAAAGGAGGAGGAGAGCCTGGTAGGACGGAGCTCCGCGGGGCCGTGGGTCCGCTGCCAGCTCCCCGGGGAGCTCCCGGAGAGGTCGGCTCTGCTCTGAGCCGAACCGCGGTGCTGTGCAGGTTGGGGAGATCGGGGAGGTCCTCCGGCGTGGAGATGCTGCAGGAGCCCGTAACGCTCACACCGCTCTAAGGGAGATGGAGAACAGGACCAAGGCTATGTCCTGCAACCGTCTTCGTGGCCCCGGGGCTCTCCCTGGAGTCACAGGGGTGTCGCAGGGGTCTGCGCCTGCCTGGGACCCTTGGTGGCTTAACCGGAGCCCGAGTCATTTTCTGGTGGGTGTCCGTATGTGGCAGTGGGCACGGGGAAGCAGTTGCAGATGTCGGGTTGCGGCGGTGCCCTGCCTTGCTTTCCTCCATCAGCTGGGAAACACGGCTTTTTCTTCCACAAATACCACTCAGCTGATGGCAGGCACCTGGCTGGGGTCCCACTGGCTGCGGGGACAGTGATGCCCCATCCATCTCTCACCCTGAGGAGCATCTGCACCCTCCTCTGCTGCCGCTTGCTTCTGGGGGAGGCAGCGGGGCTGATGTCGGGTCTGGTTGCTTGCGGGCGCGAGGGGATCCTTCCAGCCACCCTAATGTTGCCAAGGAAACCTGAATTTTCCTTTTTCTTTGCGATGGTTTGGGGCCGGAGCAGTGGGCAGAGCGGGGCGGCCCCATCCCCAGGAGCTGTGCGCAGAGCTGGAGTCGTCCGCTTTGCTCCAGCCCTTTCCTTCCTGCAAGAAAATATCTTGCTTTTCCATATCAGTCCTATCATTCCACGTTTGCTCCCCAGTTCGATTTCTGCGATGTTTCTGCCTCAAGTGTCATGGCTAAGCAGAGGTGTCTGGAAGGGAGCAAATGGGACGCGGCAGCGGCGCCGCGGCGTGCACAGAGCCTCTGAGTCACGGTGCGAGGCGGCACTGATGTTCCCTGCTTGCCCCCCAAATCTCACGTGGCTCCACCTGAGGTTTTCTCTCCAGTTCCCATTGCCAGAAACCCATTAACAAGCTGGAATTTATTTATTTATTTTTTAGTAAGAAGGAACAAAGCAAGGAGCAAGACAGACTGCGTGAGCTAAATACAGAACAAATTCACCCTTGGTGGCGGAGGTGCTGCGGGGAGGAGGGGAGGGATGGTGGGGTATCGCTACAGGCAGGAGGGAAAATATTTTAAGTGGAGAAACTTTTAGATGGTGACGTCTATGGGAGGGATGAATGAGTCTCCTGGGAAGCTGCACTGGGTCGGGGGGAAGGTCCCGCACCCCCCAGGTG